TATAATTTTTTTTAAATAATATCAAGTGAGTGAACGAACAAGTCGTGCGCCTGATGGTAAGCTACATGCCTGTCCTTAACACTTGCAGTGCCACTCAGAGATTTAAATCGCAAAGATCTGGGGGGCACTGCCACTGCGCCCATCACCCTGAGACGTAAGTTGACAAGTCTCATGTGCCTGTAATTTCACCTGCACCTTCAAGACCGGTAATGCTGAAATTACAGCTTGGCGGCAGAAATAGGTAAGGTGGCAGTACTTCCCCGGGCGAACTCTTTCACAAGGAGCTCTGCTGCTACTCCAACAAGCGTCATCACCGACGATCTCTCACCTTCCTTTCTGCGGTTTCGTTTATTACCGCACAGAGTTGCCACCGTTTAAAGCGATTTAAATATTTATATTTTTGTACGAAAATAAAATGTGATAAATAATTAAAAGTTATGAAACAAAAATTGTTATTAGTAATATATTCCTGCAAGGTTGATAGTATTTTACAAACAACCCTGTATAAGTCCAAGTTCTTGCTATGCTAGTTCTACATAAGAGTAGAAGTTTGTCTCTGAAAATATGGAGCTAAAGACATGACAAATGGATCGGATGCATGGTGCTAAAAGCATCTTGATGCATTTTGCTTGCAACGACAGCTAAAACAAACATTATTTTTAATTTAAGTCTGTAGAATAGAAATAAGCTTACCGTTAGAGCGATTGCGCACTACGTACGTCGTATGAGGTTCCAATCCGAGAAATGACGGTCCGGAATGTCACAGGTGTCCGAAGTGTCATTTTATCTCTAGGTGTATAAGCGATATTAATTTTTTCTCGAATTGAAATCGAAGGGACCGAGTTTTTTAGATTTGTATAGTCTCGGCGCAAACGCGCCGGCAGGCTGTTAGTATATCGTACCCTTAGTGTATTAAGGTCACAACTGCAGATGAACGAAATTTAAAACGATTACTTTTTATATTTAAATATTAGAGTTATAAAATTTCGCATGTATTTTGTTTCTTGTTGTTCATATTGCAACTATTTGGTAACTGTTTTTAATTTACAAACATGTATCGTCGGGTATAGTGCAAAGCCGCGTATGTAGTATTGGTAAAAAGCGCGTATCTGCACTAAACCAAGTTTCACAGGAGAGGGATTTAACATTATTACTTTGTTATTTCAATGATTAGGAGTTTCATTTTTGTACAGTAAGTTTTAGTTTATGTTGCCTACGGTCTGATAACAATAGATCCCCGTAAATCACGCTAATTTGGTTTCCATGCGCATCAGTTTCGCCACTAAATTACCGAAATGTAAACTCATAATTAAATGCTAGTTACGCGTAATTACAATTTACTACATCATATATCATAAAATATATAATTACATAATGTGAAGAGTGTTTACCAATATTCATTTTTTTTGTGGAATTACTCCACTAGTTTCTTACAATTATTAATGCAAAGATCGAACACAGAGAAAAATTCATTCAATCCGGCTGGATTCGAACAAGGTACGATCGCCATAGATTTAGTATATATATGTACTAAATCTATGACGATCGCCGATAATAGATCAACGGGCGGCGGCGCGCCAACAAAAAAGTGTCGGCAGCTGCGGCGTTTCAGCGGCGCGAGCGCGACCATGAAAGGAGTTAGTATAACGATTTATTTTTTCAAATAGAAAAATAAAATAACGTATTTCCTATAGTAATCAAATTTTTATCAGGTCGGTCAGGCGGCGCTCCGATCGCACGCAAGCGCACGCTTCCGTATTGTATACGCGTAGTGAAAATGGCGACGACAGAAATTGACAAATTAATATTTTAAACAAAACATCTTCGAATATAAAGTCACTAACTTTTATCATAGAAATGTCAATTTCGACGTCGCCTACCCTGGAAGTACTCTACTGCTACTGAATATTTATACTATTATAATTAATAAAGGTAATTTGTAGTTTAATGAGTACTAGAATAACGAAATTAATAATCGGTGCCAAAAGTAGAACTAAACCAATGGCAATTTGGTTCTACCAGGGAACGACCGATCTTATCGCGCGTAATCCAGACTATTTATTAGCTACGAGGTCATATATCTGCAACAGTCCCTTTTTTTCTGTGACATTTTATACCTGCGCTAACAGCGCGCGTTCCAATACCACGGGTTTTAATACAAATGTCTATGAAAAGATTTAGATGTGGCCATTGACTTACAAATGGATGTAGCGAAAATTTTATACGTGTTCTCTAGAAATTTTGAAAACTTTAATGAAACTATTTTTTATGGAGTAAATCGTGTATATTTGTTTTTTCAAATAAGAATAAGAATAGATTTATTGCATAAATATAGGTCTTAAAATATTACACTAGTTTGTGCTCTGTACTCTACCAGTTAAGGTGCACAATATTATTTATATTCAATATATTCAATAGTTTATTTTTATTCAAAGAAAAGAAGGAGGAGGTTCTCAATTCCACTGTATCATTTTTTAATATAAAAACGTGTTACGCGATAACTCGATAACGGAAAGGATTTGCGAATCGATTTTGTTGATTATTTTTTGTTGGAAAGATGGTAGGGAAGGTAAGGGTTGCGCGAGAGCTGTATGCGAAACAGCAGTATCTCACCTTTTATGTCGCTCTCGCACTACTCACGCTCTATCGTGCTAACTCTACGGGGAATTTTTCTTAGTCTTTTCGATCTTTATATCAATAATAATTTTATTCTAACACTAGTAGAGCACCTTGTGAACGAATTCGTCCAGAGAAGTACTGCCACCGCAATGTGAGCATTACTGCATTCCGGTTTTGGTGCTGGTGAAATTACAAGCACATGGGACTTGTCACTTATGTCTCAGCGTCACGGGTGCAGTGACAGTGCCCCTGAGATTATTGCGGCATAAAGCTCTGAGTGACAATGAAACTGCTAAGGACAGGCGTGTTACTTAACACCGAACGCACGAATTGTTCGTCCTGTCACTTGATATTATAAAAAAAAGTTAGACTATGGCATTTTTTCTTCCACAGATGCGATACGAAACCTTTTTCAATAAATATAAAGATTTAGTATCTATTACTTTTAAGCGATTATTGTAATGTAAAGGAAGAAAGGACAATTCTGAGGCAATTTCATTCGGCTCAATTCCCCTATTCCACCATTCCGTTTTAAGGATGTCTCATGAGATAAATGATCCGCATCCAATTTCGGGTTATTTTCAGATGTCATAGTACAAATGTCGGATAGTTTCAATGATAAAACTACTGCCAGAACCCAAGACAGACATAAAAGCCAAATAAGGGCTTAGTCGATGAATGGCCAATTCGCACTTATCGCTCTCATTCTTGTCTATTTTTAAGTCAAATAGTTATTTTAAGCCAAAAATTTACATTAAATATAACAATTAGATGGTGATAATAGTGGTGATGATGGTGGCGATGATGATGATGATGGTGATAATGATGGTGGTTGTGATGATGATGATTGCAATGATGATGATGATGATGGTGATGATGATATATTGAAGTTTATATGACATTAACAAAATACTTTTTTAGATTTCTTTATTTATTACATATAGATAGATACATGGCCTTATACGGATGCGAAGGATTTTGATACAAGAAGTGATATTAAAATATTTGTTACATGTTACATGTTGTTAAGTATTCTTATGTGAACGATAAAATGTATATTCTAATTGTCATTCTCAGTAAATATCACTACTGTGCTGTTTTCCTCATTTATGTTTATGAGAAAATCGTTTGTGTTACTGCAATCTCATTGTACGTTTAAGACCGTAAAACCAAAAGAAAAAAGGGTTTTACACAAATCACTCAAAAAGTGCCATTGAAACTCGGAAAGTGAAATTGACCCGATGCTCATAAGGTCAACGTTGTTCACCTTCAAAAATTCATTTGTCTGTCTGGCCGTGTGATACCTAGCATTATCGTGGTGCAAGATGATACGGCGTTTACGGTTATTTTTACGGAGTTTGTCAATAACTTCCGGCAAAGAAATGGTCGTGTACCAATCACTATTCACAGTCCAACGATACTCCAAAGCAACAGTAGCCACGTGTCCAGTTTTATTAAAAAAAGAAGCAATCGTCCGCTTAGAGGTACTTTGCACGCGTGCCGCTTTGGTTGGTTTCGGCTCATCTCGAAAGACCCATACGCTCGATTGCTGCTTTGTTTTGGCATTGTAACTATAAATTCATGTTTCGTCACCTATTACTATGTCCCACACCAAATTTAACGCCCCTTCGTTGAATCTAGTAAGCATGGCATTGCACCAAGTGACGCGATCCGTTTTTTGAACCTCACTCAAATTGTGTGGGTTCCAACGAGAGCACAGTTTTTTCACGTGTAGTATTGATGTCTATGCCTAAAGATACCCAAATCTCATGGTATGTCACATGCCTGCCTGTTTTGATCGTACTGCGCACAGCATCGATGTTTTGTTGTTCACAGCAGTGGACGGGCGACCATCACGAAATTCGTCACTGAGATTCACACGATCGCGTTTGAATTCTGTAAACCAGCTATAAAAAGTCGTCTTGCATGGTGCTTCATCGCCAAAAGCAGTTTGAAGCCGAGCAAAGCTCCGCTGAGCTGTTAAATTCCACTTAAAGTCGCAGAAAATCATACTACGAAAATGTTCACAAGTTAAATCCATGGTGATGTGACAACCAATTTCTAAAATGACGCCACAATGTAAAAACAATTGACAGTCAGATGAAATAAACTATATTCTACAGCCAAAGAGTTCCATTTTCAAATGTTGTAATTACTTTTTAAATATTGTTTATGTAAGTGGCCAGTTCCGGAAACTTATAGTGCGCCGTATGTAATAGAACGGAGCCCTCTGACTGTATATTTTACTCACTAGTGGACTTTATTAGTGGAAAATAAAGTTATAAAGTTATGGTCCGGAAAACAGCGACGCAATTTTGTTAACTTCGATTCGGTATTTTAATGAAATTAAATAATTTATATGCATTAATTATTTGTTACAGTGAAATAAACGATATCAACTTGGGCCTCCTCGTGGAGGTGTGGAATAAGGGCGTCATCTGGGACCAAGCGCTCGGTTACCACTACCTGCCGCTTACTTCAGTCGCTTATAACGAGGTAAGTAGAATATCTTTGATCTTGTAGCATAATTCATTTACCGAAGCCGATGCCCGTATAATCGAGTTTAGGATGAATTACTGGTCATTTATTATCTGTTGCTACAACATATTGGGAGTGTTAGGGACGGGACATTCAGACTAGAGAACAAAAAATTACACCATGTACATGGTTACGCGACTAATTTATGTCACCGACTAATTGTGTAACCGTTCCTAAAAATCAGAAAAATAAAAAGAAACCAAAACGATTATTACTAATTACAGGTTTCGTGGTACGGTGTGGGTTCTTTTTGTTTCCCCGATATTTCGGAACGGTTACACGCTTCATGGTCAGGGTGACCTCCTCCTTACCTGATGGAAAGTGACGACTAGGTCGATGATGCACACCTATAACGTTATATCGCCTCTTTCCATTCGTATCGTATCGTTTTTTCTTCTTCTACTCGTATTTAAATTTAAAATTGTTCCATTTTACCTCGCATTCTGATTTTGTGTCTTTCCATCGTCACTCTCTGCGCGACCGCGGTAGCGAACGTACCACAATTTATCTTTTTGAATCGTTTACTAGCTATATTTCTACAGCTTACATTTTAAAGGTTATAATATATTTGTTAAAACCGATTAAATACCTATAAACCGGACTTTCAACGTTTGAATTGCTAAATTTACTAAATAAAATGTTGGAGGCTGCGAAGCTGCGGAGGCTATTACTGCTATCCAGGCTACACTACTTTACAATCCACCGGAACGCCACCAGCACCAGCAGCACCTCCACAAGGTGATTAAAAAGAGAGCAATAAACGTCTTGTTTATACGTCTGATAATTTGTAATTGAATTCCTAACTTTATACCTGCCAAATAGACACTTCGACTAAAGCGTGTCAGCCATATCGTAGTCGCAAGCGTCTGACCCGTTGTAACGACTACCCTAACTCAATTAGTTTTTTTGAATGTAGATGGCGCTTCTCGCCAAAGATTTAGGTATATACATAACTTCAAGCTCAGTTTTGAGAAATATATTATTTTTATCTATGGTTATATTTTATCAAGGGTCTTCCGGTAACTTTCGTTTTAAGCGCGATTACCGACACTCACCCTCCGCTTAGCATTTGAGAGTTTCCCGTTTGCGCTTGTTCCAGATACAAATTATTCAGATAGAGAAAAGTTTTCACGTCTTTTCTCCTATCTAAATTATTTACGAAATAGGTATTTTCTGTGAGCATCTCTGCGTTTCGTTTTTTACAACAAATATTCATAGCTCTCTACCAACTAATAAGTTCAGTTAATCTGGTTAAAAGCCTGAATATTTAATATATACAGGGCCAGCGGTGTACCTCCCTTTTTTCCGGTTATTATCATATTATCAAGGCTTGAATTGCTAGGTTATTTTCCGAGGAAAATACCTAATTCCCCGCTTATTGATAATTGTGTCGCAGTAATTGATTTGGTTTGAAATATTCATCATATCTGGACTGTCGAGAATGAGTTAATGATGTCAACGTGATTGATTGGCAGTGCGCGACGCGATTCCAGCCAGCTAAAGCGTTGACGGCGTGCTATCCTGGTCGTTTTGAAAATTTGTTTTGCGTGTTTTAAGATTTGATGGTTATTTAAGTTAATAAAAAGTAAGAATTCGGTTGCAGGAAAGTGCGCGAAACCGGATTCATCGCCTAGTTTGCCACCCTTAGTGGTGGAATATTTTGTTCAAAGTTAAATGGGGCCAACACTGAGGTACCTCTTTCCAACGAAAAATAATCATCAAAATCGGTTCACAATGCCGTAATCGCATAACATACACACAAAAAATAATAAAACACAGTCGGATTGAGAACTTCCTCCATTTTTTAAAGTCGGTTGAAGTTTGAACCTTTTATCTGGGTATCTGTAAGTCTGTCTGTGTTCCCGAACGGATGGACTGACTTCAAAACGGTTTTTTTTATAGTCTTTCTGTCAGTGAAATATGTCACAACATATTTCAAGGGTTAGTGATGGTTTTATTACTTACCTCATAGTATGTTTGATCAGTCATTTCAAAATACCTAATTCGATTATCACCTTGGAACAAAGATTTTGAGTATTAAGATTTAGTAGCAGTAGAGCTCCTTGTGAAAGAGTTTACTATTTCTGCCAAACAGTAATGTGAGCATGACTGCGTTGAAGTTGCATGTATTGTGTAGCATGCACATGGGATTTATCAACTTATGGTTCAGGGCGACTGGCGCAGTGGCAGAGCTCCTCAGATCTTTGTGACAGGCCATCGCTTACCATCAGGCGCGCGGCTTGTTCGTCTCTATGTTTGTGGTCTCTTCACTTGGTATTATAAAAAAAAGTTGTGGTGTGTATGTGAATGTGCGTGTGAGAAAAAAAGTGATGTAGACCGAGACAATATCATTACTATGATCACGTAAACGCCTAGTGCACGATCTAATGAAAATATCGCATTCAAATTTACTACTATTATGTGCATTTGGATGTTTTTTTTATAATACCATGATTTTTTATCGTTACAACGACAAACTGTCGTCACAGTGGGAACAGCTAGAACAACAGTCGTCGAACGATAAAAAAACGTCACGATAAAAACGTGACGACAGATTGTCGCAGCTAGTATTGTCGTCACGATCTAGTGGGAACAGCTAGTCACGACAGTCGTTCAACGATAAAAATCGTCCACGACATATAGTCGTGATATGGGAACAGGCTAGACACGACAGTCGTCCAACGATAATAAAACGTGACGACATTGTGGGAACGCGCACTGACGGGACGAACAAATCGTGCGCTTGGTGGTAGGCGACACGCCTATCCATAACAGTTGCAGTGTCACTTCGAGCTTTAAATCGCAAAGATATTATTATTTTTTAATTTATTTCATACAAACAAAGCGTACAAGAAAACACAATACAATTTCTCACCAAACTGCGAAAGCAGTTTGTTGGCGAGGTCTCACTAACAATCACAAAACTATAGTATACCTTGTACGAGTACATTTAACAAAACTAGTGTAGAATTTACTAATTTACATGCTTTCAAGAAGTATAAATTTAAATTTTTTCTTCAATGTGAATTTACTCAACAATTTCTGCCTCTCAAAAAATCGTATTTATTAAATATAATCGGCAAGAGATGTCTATTTGTTCTTTTACCATAATAGTTATAACTTTTATTAGGGGCACTGCCGCTGCGCCCGTCAACTTGAGACATAAGTTGACAAGTCCCGAAATGTATCTGATGGAAATTCGACAAGTAGGCTATTTTTCTGCGATGATCGAAATTTTGTAGACTCCACAAGAGAATTGTTGTTAATAAGTCTCTTTGCTTTTCGCTCCATCGAGTCCAAGGCAGCTAACTGGTGATAGGCAGAGCCGTCCCAAAGATGGCAGCAGTACTCCATACACGACCGAACTCGAGCTTCAAACAGATTTAAAAGCTGCTCAGGTGTGAAGTACCGCCTGACCTTGAAAAGTATGCCTTGCTTTTCGCCAAACACTCGATATATCGCCCAAAGTTGAGGTTGAATGATGGTAAGGTGGCAGTACTTCCCAGGACGAACTCTTTCACAAGAAGCTCTATTGCTACTAAAAGTATAGTGATGATATCGTGCCCCTTTAGTTGGGAGTTTCAATTTGAATTTCTTTTGATACTTCAGCAGGAGTGCGGAGGACGGTGGATCGAATTGGAGGCGCAATTGATGATGCGCGGTGGCGCGGTTGTTGGTACCACCGGCCCCACCGGCCATGCGTTGCTCCTCGACTGCAGATTCGAACAGCCTTTTGGTGAGTCTAATAATAATAATAACAATAATATCATTTGTTCATAAGCACATTTACAAAGAACAGGTTAACAGTTTCGGAAATGTGGAATCTAGTGCCAAAGAAAAGGATGGAGCCTCAGCACTACATGCTGCTTTTCAGGTTCTACCTTATTTGTAATAGATATTATAAATAATAAATGTCATTCTACTACCAAGGCTATACCACGTTGTCTCAAATTATTTTCAAACTAAAAAAGAAATTGCGCACAAATATTTATTTCAACACTGTGAGCAAAAATAGAATTCAAGTTACATAAAAAATGTTTGGCGTATATAAAAATGACATTTTTCCAATTTCAATTGTTTACTGCATATCACATGACAAATTTAAGATGGAACATTAATCGGTGGTATACACGTGACGCCCTTCGACGCGCGTCGCCAATTGTTGTAGTTGAGAAACAGGACGCGACGCGACGCTTCGACTCTGCGCCAGTGTGAGTTGAGCTTAAGGGCTAAGTTCATAAATCACACTATTTCATTATACATATTAAATTATTACATTGCAATATAATTTCATAACATGAAATTATCATATTAAATTTTACAAATACAAGAAGGAAAAAGATCATAGTAATATTGTTGTTTGGAACTTTTCTTTGTCACACACAATGAAAATTCGTAATATGGAAGCGTACATAGGGTGCATCTGCAAAATGACAACTTTTCAGGAGAGAGCTTTAAAGATTCTACGAACGAATTTACTCGATAACTTTTTGTGTTTCAATAGGTGTGTTAAATTTCACATATATATATGTACATATAGCTTAGGGAAGAAAAAACGTTTTCTTAGATTTCTCACAGATGGCGCTACGGCAAAAAGTCGTGAAAAACCAAAAACGAAGATCTGCCATAAGCACATAGACAAATTTGTAAGGTCTGCTGGTTGGCAAAGCGTCAGACACGGTATGCAGAAGGCGCTGGTTCGAATCCAGCCGGATCGAAGGAATTTTTCTTAGTGCTCGATCTTTGTATTAATAATTATGTATGTACATACTTTGTTTCATGTGATAAAAGCACTTTTGATGAATGACCACATGCAGTTATTATACCAAGGTTGTATAAGTAGCGATGCGCGAATACGAATAATTTCGATATGTGATTCATTAGTGATTACTAATCCTGTCGTTCTAATGACAAATTAGTGACCTACTAATTTTCTTATTCGAATGATTTGAATCATTCATTACTAATTAGTAGTACTAATCCATAGTTTTCATAGAGCATTTCTGCTCGTGATTACCTTGCACTCTCTGACATATGGTAAACACCGTAAATGTGACCGGGACACGGATATTTTGATATGGACATGCTGAATCTGTGAAGTTCTGACTAGTTCCGATATCGGTAATGATACGACTCGAGTCGAATGCTTGTGCTTGGATTCGAATTAGGCAACTGATTTGTCCATTCGAATTGCTATTAGAAACATTGAAAGTTGCGCATCGCTAATATATAGTTCCTGAATGTATTAAACGAGAAAACGCTGTAGTCATACGGATCCCTTTGTCGAACAGGAAAAAGTTACAAAAACATTTCCAGAGAGAACTATCAACAAAGGGGTCGCAATACGCGAATGTTTCCTATCCAACTTTTGGGAATTTTCGCACGTTCTTTTATTTTTCGCTCACTGTCTGTTTTGTTACCATTTTTTCAGTGAGCTTCAAAAACAATGCTCTTTTTATACGAGGCATTATCTACGAAAGTGGAGTGTATTGCAGTAACCAATTTAATTTAGTTTGGACTACACGGCTTGATGATATCCAAAATACGAAATGCTTTTGGTTGATGGAGCATAACTATTTTTCGCGTTTTTTGGTACACAATGAAGCATCCAAGCATTCCCATTTTTATAAAGGTAATCCACGGCTAAGTGCAAGGATGATTCGATTATTATTTTACGGCAAGAATTAAATCCCTTTGTTTTTTATAAACCCAAAGGACAAGAATTTCGAGATTTTGTAAGAATTACCCATTAACATTTATTTAGGAGAAATTGCTTCAAAACTTTATAACATTTTTTGTCACGTTGTTCATTTTTTAGTAGTTATTTAATTTATTGCCATTGAATTCGGTTGGTAAGGTTGATCCTGTTAGAAAAGCGAAATTATTTTGAAATTGTTTCGAAGCGTTGTGTTTCACCTTTTGATTTTATTAAAATTGAGTATATTTTCTTACCAATATGCAAATTCCGAAAATGTTTATATTTTGTTTCACTCGTTGAAGTGAAGACTCCAAGTTTTTTAAATGTGGTTGACAATTTTCCGAATTTTTATATCGGCAAGTATCCGGTATTGAGGACGAGTAGTTGATAATTACTAATTACTAAGACATCCCTAATGTATATCGATGCTCTCTCATACTTGACCCATTAGCCGACGTTTTGGTTCTGAAAGTCTTCTTACGCATTCACCATAAAAGTGTCAAGGGTTTTTTGGTTGAAATTTGCACAAGTAACATAGTTCAAGATCGAATTGGCTTAAAAAGTCTCTTCAAACGTCATTCACTTGTGATGCAATAAGGAAGTCAAGTCAAAATTAACTGTACGGATCACAGGTGGTTAAGTTTGTTTAACATCTTTCTTCATATTAATCTACTCTGAATCAATTAGTCATTAGGTGGTTAGGGTGTCTTATAGCATCGACTGTACATGCAAATCAAAGGCAATATTTTTAGCTTTTTTTAGAACAACGGTTTGTAATGACATAGAGCTTTTGCTGAACGTTGGATCACATCTCGCACAATAGTGACCGATTCCTACTCCACGGTATAAGGGTCATGCCGTCTGGACGCTTGCCAGCGCCCGTCGTATCTCGCAGTACGCAGATTTTAGCAACAATCCATCTGACTTTAGCCATGATATGACCCTTATTTCGTACAATGTGGAGCGGTCACTAGTGTAGGATGTTATATTGGCCCCGTCCCATCAACAAAATATGACCAAGACTGTTGCAACCGAGCTGGCAAAAGGATTGAAAAGCCAAAAGTACCCGAGCTCCGACTATATTACTCATGCTCTAAGGATTTTAAACGCTAAGTCCATGGTGTCCAGCACCCGTTGCAGGCCGCCGCGATAAAATTATTATATCCATATTTAGCTGTCAAGTTCGAGTAATAAAACCGCCATCTGGAAATTATGTCACAATAGCGAACATCGCGAGCACCACTACGTCACATTTTTGTCATACCGATCGCGTTTTGAGTTCCTTAGTTATCTGTCTTTAGCAAATGCTTTCAAAATTTGTAAAAATCACACAGTCTTTGTGAGAAAGTCAGAGAAAACCCATCTCGACCTATTTTATAATTTTTTCTAAGAAAACGTTCTTCATATCCTCTGGACATTTTCGCTGAAACAATATAGAAAATCCACTAGATAATTTTGCATTACATTGTCAAAATGTTTTTAAATTAGCTGTATGATCTTGTAGTCATGTTTAGCACTGCGAAAGTATATTCGCGGCCATTGGTTGGCGATGCGACGATGCTCCATGTTCACCATGTTCGCCATTGCCATAAAATTTCAAGATCACTCAAATTTGACTGTTAAATGTAGATATAATATTTTTATCGTGGCGGCATGCTACGGGGGCTGGTGTTTGTAAAATTATATTGAGATCATAAACACTGAAAACAATATACTTTGCCCAACGGTTTCACATAATCATACGGGAACGCTTCTAACAATTTGAACTCTGACGCGAGGACCCAATTTCGTCCATTTAATCTAGACGTAGTCCTAGTAAGCTAGTTAAACTTTTGACATATAGGCCATCCCATGTCTATATCACATGGACGGTAAGTACTTCAAATGTTAAAGATAGCAAATTTAATTTGATGGGACTTTAGTTTATTAGAAAAAAAACTATTATCTTGGTTTTTCATACAACCAATGTTTTGGGCCCTGTACTGGCCCAATGGTCACTGTTGACCATGGGACTGGTGAAGCGTCTGAAATGTTGTTTTGTAATATACGCGCTTTATATCCAAAAACAAAATAGTTTCATTGTCACGCAGGCTATACCGATAAGAGTCTGGCTCTTAAATAGAGTGATGATGATTTTTATGAAACCTATTGAAAGGCTGAAAGCGGTGGTTTACCAAAACTACTGAAAGGACTGCTTTTGAAAATAAGCTTCCATTATGTGAAATTTGCTTTCTTCAATATTTAAAGTACTTGCCTTTTATATGGCATACGCATGAGACATCCTGCTGTGTATTAGACTTTTGTATCGTTATAAATATGTAAACAAACATATCTTAAAGGTTATATATATTCAAAGTACGAGTTCAATCTTTGATAGCGCCTAATAATTTACTTGAAGAACCGTTTTACCGAAATATCTCTAGATCAATTTATTTGAAAAGTTTCTGTTTACGAGAAACATAAATTGTTAAAAGCGCGACAACATCTCAAAGTAATTTTTGCTAAAAAATATTTACTCAGTATGCGCAAATTGGGAACTGGTATAATTGAACAATAAACAAAATTTGCCGTAGAATTTACTGGTGCCAAGGTTTTGGGTAGAATGCGCTTAGGTGTCTACCTATTTTGTATGTATTTCTACCGCAAAGCTGCACCGCTGTGTTCCGAATTAAAGTTTAGGGAATGCAAACACTTAACTCGTTCTAGACATAAACGACGTTCCTAACGATTTTGATAAAAAAAAATATTATGCATTTTTTATACATTTAAATAGTTTTTAATATGGTGGATGAAAACCATGAAAACCCAACAGCGTGTTAGAGACATCGCATGGCTCTAGGACGCTTCAGTGCCAAAATTTTTAGATACATCCTGCCTAGAACCACAGGTTACTTAATAATTACTACGTTGCAAATACATCACTCTCATACAAAATCGAAAATATTTTAATAGCCTACTAGATCTGACTAATGACAGCAGGCATTCACTACGAGGAAAAAGAAACCTAAGTACGTACTCAGCGAGGTGAAAATAACGTT